CACCACCCACTCACTTTGTATGCACCAGACAAGGCTGAAAGAATTGATGCGGTGGTCAAACCGCATGAAGAAATTAGGTTGATGCAGCCAGACATTCGGGTTGAGGCCCGAGGGATGAGCATTATCGTCAGTTAAAGACACTGAGATATGAGTCGGGATGGACGTCCTAGACGCCAATACATTATGGTGGGTCCCTTAAAACTCCAGGAAAGGAAACAAACAAAGTAATCAAAACGGAACAGTGATACAAAAGGACATTTCTCCTGTGATCTCTTCCTCCCTATTTTTCTTATTTGTATGCAAACCATTCCTTTTCTTTTCACAGGGGCCATGCTTGCACGCGCGTAGTTACATGGAGGCGAATAATGATCACTGGAAACCCCTTTCGTCGGTTACGGAACTCATCAGTTTCCCTTTTAAGGTAGCACGATTGCATATGTGGCACGCTAATGATCTGCGAAGGTAATCCTTGTTCTTCTCAAATGTTTTTTGCTTGTTTCGATGTGTCATTTTTTCCTTTTACGGATCAAAGGGTTTCAACGAGAAGAGGTTCAAAACTTCGCGACGCTCTTATTATTGGAAATTCCGTAATTTCTGAAAACGTTTGGTGGTCTGTAGATGCAAGAACCTGGGCTGACACACTCGAGCCGCAAGCTGTCCTAGGACAGTTCTGAATATGAAGTTTTCTGCTAAAACTTTATCATCGGACCATAGGAAACGGTTACGGTTTTCGGGATATATGACTCTGTTGAGGATAGGTGGGGCTATTTGGATCAAGTTAAGTACCAATATTGGTCTCACTTTTTGTCCTCAAACATCAAGATGGATTTAGTAACTTGTTTGAAACACAACAGTGAGCGTTATCACGTCGATCAGTCTGTATATTATTATTTGTCCAGTGTTTCCGTTTATTTTAATACACTTAGATATTTACTTTCCAGTCTTTTTATAGATAATATACTGCAGTGTAGCTATTGTCAGTATACTAGTGCGACTTTTGGCCACAGGGGGTAACTGTCGTTCAAGTCTATTCTAAATCCTTAGTAGCCCAAACGCCAAGCCACGGTCTGAGCGCCGTATGTGTCAAACAAAATTTCTCAACAGGAAGCATTTGCGTGTTAACTCGCAATTGGTTAACCAAATTATAACCACGTCGAAGACAAAGCTGAGAATTGAACCTTCGACCACGACAGTCAGGGATGTTTCAGTTCAGTTTGCACAGGACAGGAAATGGCCACGGCCAATCGAGCGTCCAGTTCTTTCGGTGGTATACACAGGTCCGGCACTCACCACTGTATCGAGTAATCCGTCAGTTCTCCTGCTAAAAAAAAAGGAGAAAAAACTTATCTCGCCTACTCGGCGAGAGACTTTGAAGTAAGTGAGCGTTCAAAAGGTGCCCTAATGGGAGTCACTGCTCAACCCAGAAACTACTTCATCCGACCTTCGATCTGGGGCTAGTTTGAAGGTTTGAACACCAAAGGTAGTTCTATTAGCTCTTCTGGCAGTCGGTTCCATTGGTTTACTATCCGATTACTGAAGAAGTAAGATCTTGCTACTATCCTGAATCGAGATTTTCTTAGTTTCTTCCAGTGACCCCTTGTTCTCGAATAAAGGTCTTCTTGAATCAGGTTCTCCGGGCCTACGCCTGATGACCCCTTTATTAGTTTGAAGGTTTCGATGAGGTCACCCCGGAGTCTTCTCCTGTTCAGAGAAAAGAGCCCCAGGTCATGAAGTCTCTGATCATACGACTTCCCTCTTTGACCTTTAACCATTCTCGTTGCGAGCCACTGAACTCCCTCTAAGTAGGCAGCATCCATTTTGAAGAAGGGTGACAATGCCTGCACGCAGTACTCGAGATGAGGTCTAACTATACCTTTGTACAGAGGCACGAACGACTCCGGTTTTCTGCAAGACAGTGTTGACCTCAGTCTGAAGAGTTCTCTGCAAGCTCTTTTTGCGGTTGCTGTGCACTGCTCGGCCCAACGGAAATCGGAAGTCACGGTGACACCTAGGTCCTTAGCCCTACTTACTGATTCTATCTTAAATAACCCCTAGTCCTGCATCACTGTTAAGCTGTCGCCGGTCCTCGATAGCAACTGACTTTTACCAACATTCAGCGGTAAATCCCACTTATGCGCCCAGCTGAGGACAACAGCTGTCTCTTTTGAGGTCCTCTCTTCCTTCCGATCCAACCACCTTGACTTCGTCGGCGAAGAAAAAGGTGGGCGATCTCAACAGTATAGCAAGGTCATTTACGAATAGTAGGAACAACAACGGACCGACCACGGAGCCCTGGGGTACACCACTTGTGACGTGTGCTGTACGGGAGCACTCGTCCCCTACTTTGATGTAGAAGGTCCTGTCGGTGACGAAGTCCCTCAGCCATCGGTGGATTTGTCCCCTTAAACCAAACGCCTATTTTGATTAGTAGCAGTCGTTGGTTGACCGAGTCAAACGCCTTTCTAAAGTCAAGATAAAATACATCTACCCTGTGCCCTTCATCTAATCGTCTGGTAACTTCATCCAAGAAGCACAGCAGATTAGTCAANAGAAACCCATGTTGAGTTGGACAGCATAGAATGCTGCGTTATGTGCTGGCATATATGTGCGCGAACACTAAACAAAATAGTTACACTGACTGGCCTGTAGTTACCTGCCTTTGATCGGGCTCCCCCTCATGTATTATCACCACTGCTGCTACCTTCCAGTCCCTCGGTTGAACGCCTTGGTCTGGTGAAGCTTTATATAGCTTATACACCGGCCCTGCGAGGATGTCTGTTATGGGCCTGGTGATAGCTGGATGAATCTCCTCCGGTCCAGCCGCCTTATGGATGTCTAGACCCTCCAAGTGATGGCGCACTATCTCTTCCGATAGCTGAATCTCCTCAATTTCTGACGGTGAGGATCCTAGCTCCAGGATTCTTGGCATACCGTCATCTATTCAGTGTACACGGCCCAAGTAGCCAGCCAAGGCATCTACCTCACGTTGGTCACCCATAACCACCGCTGGAGCACCTATGGTTAAGGGTCCTATACCATCTCTGTTCCTTTGGACTGAGCGTAGCTATAGTACTTCTTCGGTTTGATTTTGGCGCACTGGGCCAGCCGAAGCTCATGTTGCCTTTTGGATTCATGTATCAGCCTACTTCTATATCGAATCTACGCTTTTTGGTTTCAGGAAATTCTAAAGCTCTTCCAGTACCTACTTCGTTGTTTGATGGTCCTGGCTATGGCTGCCCTCCACCACAGCGGCTTATCGCTGCGTGGGTTGGGTTTCAACGGAGCAAATTCGTTTTGTAGATCCAAGAGTGCCTCCCTAATTAACATCTAATGGTCTTCTACACTAGCCTTCTCCGGAGTTTCCCTTACAAACTCCGATGCCCTAGTTCTGAGATTCCCTAAATCTATACAGCCGGAATTTCTTATCAGCTTGCCGCATACACACTTTGATCGAATTAATGACGTCGCCGCTTTTACCAAAAGGTGGGTGTCATTGTAGAGCCATGATGTCATTCTTGTGATCACGAGATCTAGCAGCGACGGGTAAACTTTCTTCAGTTTTCGAATTGAAAATCAGTGCATTCTTGCAATTCATTTCAAACTGCTCTGAAATCACTTGGTTTATTGACAGTAAAACATTCATCAAAAACGGCTAAATTTTAAGAGATTTGCAGGACCATACGGTCCAAAGATTTCGCGGGTA